CACATGTCTGTCTTCTGAACATTCTCCCCCTCCTTGACAGCTATGCATGTCAACTGAAAATCCTTCATCTTGTGATATCTGCAACGTCACATCAAGAAAAATACATCCATTAACAAATGCCACCAGCAACCATTCAACAATGCTCCAAAAGGCATAATTTTGTCACTGGTCTCTGCAATAGCTTTTTTCCCAGTTGTACTTGTGCCACTCTCACTTTTCCATCTTTTCCAGGAAATACTTGGGTGACTTTTGCAAGGGGCCAATGAGCTCTGGGGCTATCAGGCGATATAACAATAACAATATCCCCTACCTTCAAATTTTTCTTCTCTTTGTGCCATTTTGTCGTTGGATTTAGTCCTGGTAGCCATTCTTTCAACCAACGTTGCCAGAAGTGCTTCACCAGTTCTTGAACACGTCGCCATCGTTTCCTTGGACTGAACATTGTCTGGTCTACCGTTTCTGGTGCAAATCTGCCTCCCATTTGGCCATGGAGAAAGTGATTCGGGGTCAAAGGCACATCATCATCCACATTTGCTGTCTGGTATGTCAGCGGTCTTGAATTCAGCAACGATTCTGCTCCTGTGATGGCAGTCATCAACTCTTCATCGGACACATTTGCATCTGTCAGGATTCCTTTCAACGCACGTTTTGCTGCCTTGATCATAATTTCATGAGCTCCTCCAAAATGTGGTGACAAAGGAGGATTGAAATGCCATTTGATACCACGATTTGCAGCACTCTGGATGATTCGATTCTGGTCCAATCTTTTAACGAGCTCCTGTAGCTCCTTGTCAGCTGCTACGAAATTGCCACCATTGTCAGAAACAACTTCTTCAGGCTTCCCACGACGACTCACCATTCGATAAAAGGCATTCAAGAATGAATCAGTATCCAGGGCAAATGCCATTTCCAAGTGTACTGCTCTGGTAGCTAGGCATGTGAAAAGACAAAGATATCGTTTTTCTCTTCGCTTACCTCTCCCTTGCATGGTGATGAATGGTCCTCCATAATCTACAGCTACTCTTTCAAAGGCTCGCAATGACATTGCCAATCTAATGCTTGGTAGGGGTGCCATGATCTGACTGCATGCCCTCGCCTTTCGTCTTTTGCACCAGTTGCATTCGTTTTCCCATTCTCTTATCTCTTCTCTTGCTGAAATTATCCAAAAACGACTCGAAATAGCTGCCAATGTCTGATTTGTGCCACCTGCATGATGATCCTTTTCATGATAGAATTTCACGATCAGCTTTGTAACCCAGTTCTTCCTTGGTAGAATAATAGGATATTTTGCATCGTATGGCAGGAAGTCAGCATACCTCAATCTTCCATTACACCGTAGAAGTCCATCTTCATCGATTCGTGGCTGTAACACAATCAATTTGCTGTCACTCTTCATTTGCTTTCCTTTCAACAGTTGCTGGTATTCGGTTGCAAATGCATTTTGCTGCACGTCTCGAATGATATGAATTTCTGCATCTTTGATCTCTTCATATGTCAATTCTCCATTAATTCTTTCTTTTTTTGCTGTTCGACAGTTGTCCAAGAAACGGCAAACCCATGCTACAAGTCTTGTAAGTCGAAGCCAGCTTGAAAAATGAGAAGGATCCAAATACCAAGAATTCTCCTTACCCGCTTTCATCAGTTTACTTGGTTCCACTTGTTCACCAGTCGTAGATTTCTTTTTGCTAACTGCATCAGCAAACAATGATTGTTTCTCTTCATGATTTTCTGTTACGGACTTCATCTTTGAACGACCAGACTTCTTCTGCTCCGATACTGCTTCCATTGACATCTCAAATTGATTATTAGGCCATTCATCCTCAGCCATTTCCAAGAATTCTGGTCCTTTCCACCATTGCTCACTGTTTGCCAACGCAGATGCTACCATCTCTCTTGTCAAGTGATCAGCAGGATTATCCTTCGTGGGAACATATCTCCATTGCTCAGGGTTTGTCATGTTTTGAATCTCACCAACACGATTTGCAACAAATGGCTTGAAACATCTGCTATGTCCTCTGATCCACCAAAGTGTGTTCATGCTGTCACACCAGAATTTGACTTGCTTCACTGACACTTGCATTGCATTCGCTACCGATACCGCCAATCGAAGTCCTGTGACTGCTCCCATTAGTTCCATCCTTGGAATGCTCATAGCTGCCAGTGGTGCAACACGTGACTTTGCTGCGACAATATTAGTAGTAGCTGCATGATCAACGTAGACATACCTTGCATAAATAACAGCTCCATAAGCTTCTTCTGATGCATCACTGAAAACGTGTAATTGCATTGATTGAACATCTTTATGCTTGCCAGTGTGAAGACATCTTGGCACTGAAAGATTTGACAACTCGTGAAGTTCACTGTACCAACTCTGAATCTTTGACTTGACTTCGCCATCGAGCTCATCATCCCAATCGAAGCCTTGTCGCCAGATTTCCTGCATTACCACTTTTGCTCTAACGATGAATGGTGCCAAGAAACCAAGAGGGTCAAACAATGATGCAATGGTTCTCAGAAACGATCTCTTTGTGATGATTTGATTTTCTTCAGGTGGGCTTGAGTGAAAACTGAAAATATCCTCCTTTGCTCGCCAAAGTATTCCAAGGGTCTTTACAGTTGGAAGCTCTCCATTGTCCAAATCAATTTCAGATGCTCTGTCTTCTACTGGGATTACAGAGAGAACTTCTGGAGAATTAGAGAGCCACTTTCTTGCATGCATGCCTGCCTTGTTCCATAGAGCTGCAAGCTGATGATACAGTTGGATTCCCTTTTCGTCATCTTGTACTGAATCAATGCTGTCATCCATGTAGGTTGACTTGAGTGCAGTTTCTGAAGCCATCGGATATTCTGATCTGTACAACTGAGCATGCTTTTGAATCACAAACTGTGCTTGAAACGGTGAACTTGTTATACCAAACACCACTCGGCTGAATTCATACTCCTCTGGATCTCTGTCCTGGTCACATCTTCTCCAAAGAAATCGATGATACACACGGTCAGCTTCTGGAATCTGAATCCTCAAATACATCTCAGCAATGTCACAGACAACAGCGACGGGATGACATCTAAAGCGTAGCAAAACATCAAACAATTCTCGTTGCAGCTTCGGGCCTGAATGTATCATGTCATTCAAGGATGTCCCTTCATACTTTGCTGAAGCATCAAAGACGATTCTGATCTTGGTGGTCGCTTTGTTGGGTTTCAATATAGCAAAATGAGGAAGATACCACTTGCTGTCAGGTTGCTTCTCAGAGACTGGAACCTTTCGTATGTATCCTTTGTCCAAATATTGATCAATGACTTCATCGTATGCCTTCATCACATCTGGGTTCTTGAGCAAACGTTTCTCGGTGTTCTGAAGTCTTTTCATTGCCATTTTGTGATTGTTCACCATTCTATAACTATCTTCTTTCCATGGTACTCCAACTTCATATCGACCATCAATGAACCTGAAAGAATTCTCAGCTTTTTCCAATGCAGCCTTCTCATCAGGACTCACCACTGTTGTCTGGGTGAACGTTCCAGCTGAGTCGATATCCCAAAACTTCTTCATTGTTGAGTTGATTTCATCGACATCAGATCTGCTTGTAGTAAACAAAGTCGTCTTGCTGAAATGGGTATCAGGGATCTTCTTGCCTTCTGGACATCCTACGCATGTCCACCCCAATGGCGTTCGTCTGGCAATGGGCTCTCCTTCTTGTCCCCTGACTTCTTCGTAAGAATAGTGCATGTCAAGGTAGTCAATACCAATCAGCAAATCCACGATAGGTCTCAAACCGGTGTCTGGAAAATCAATGTGCTTCAAATGAGGCCATTTGTCTGCTAGATGTGACCATTGGATGACCTTCATGTTTCCAGTTACTCTCTTTGCAGTAAGTGCTTTTACTCTGATGTCAACATCACCACTTACACTTTCAAGTCCAAACTCGACAGGCATGGTTTGAAAAGACTTGCAATCTTCAAAACATTGACCTTTATTGTTTCAAAGGTACCATTGAGACCCAGTTCTGCTGCAACATCTTCATTCACATACGTTTGAGTGCTGGCATCATCAAGAAGTGCGTTCAATTTCAATCTTCGACAGCCATTTTTCAAAACAACCGGAATGGTTCTCAATGCTGTTGCTCCTTTGACATCTGATTTTGAGCACACCATCGTTGTTTGTGTTGCAAAATTCCTCTGCAAACGCTCCCCCTCCGTGACTGACGATGACAACTGTTGCTGACTGCTACTGCTGACTGATTGCTGATTGAAGGCTTCTGGTGTCCTTGTTTCATTGCTGTTTTGCTTTCCAGTGATCCTGTTACCCATGCTATGCAGCAACTTGTTGTGTGTTTCCTGACATCCACGAATACCACACACTCTACTTCGAGTACATTTACTACCACTGTGGTCATCACCAAGGCACCGAAAACACAATTTGAAATGCTTTGCCACATTCCATCGCTGTCGAATGTCCATGTTTCGAAAAGCATCACATGCCCATACACCATGTCTACCATTGCACACTTTGCACAGTCGCTGCTTACCGTATTTCCCACCAGTGACACCTGATCTACCAACTTGAAAACGATTCACTTGTGTTAATTCTTCAGTAGCACCAAAGAATGTGGTTTTCTTCTCTCCTGCTAAGTTTCTTGATCTACTGTTTCTTCTTTCGCTTGATACACCATGCACTGTCTCTCTTGCAACTGTGTAGAATTCAGACTCTTGAATCACCCACATCTTCAGTGTTTCAACGCATTCTCTTCTTCGATTCTCAAAGATCCATCGATTGTACTGCGTCAGCAGTGTTTCTGGAAGTTTCTTCAGTAGCTTGATGTAGAGAGATCCATTTCCCAATTCATCGTGACGTCCACTCTCCAGTAGATTCACCACCAGAACATCAAGTAGATCTGCAAACTTCTCTATGTCTTTTGAACATCCATCTCTCACTGGTTTGAAATTATCCATGTCCTCCAAGTGAATTGCGATTTCCCTCCTCTTGCCACCAAATTTTCGCTCTAACCTGTCCTTTGCAGCTTCATATGCAGCTCCAGAAAAGCCAAGATTCTCGATCGCTTCCAGTGCAACGCCAGATAGATATTGCCTCAACTGCAGCAGCTTGTATTCAGGAGTCGCAGGAGCTCTGTCAATGCAAGCCAGAAATGCAGCTTTCCAGTTCTCATACTTTCGCTTGTCACCAGAGAAAACGGGAATCGCAACACGCTGCAGCTGTCGCCACATGTCCTGACCAAGTGACTCTTCGTGTGAATATCGCTCAGATCGTCTGTGATCACCACCAAATCTGACTGACTGTTGCAGTTGCTGTGAATGTTCCTCCGGGGTCATTGGAAACTGACTTCTTTTCGCGCCAACACCGACATTGGTTGACTTGTGCTGAAGCTCTTGTCGCTCAGAATTGTTGTGAAATTGAGAAGAATCAAATTTCGCTTCCTGAAATGGCAAATAAGTCTCTTGATTAAATCTAGGTGCTCCAAGGCTTACCTTTCGATCCTCTCGTGGGTTGTAAGATCCCGCTGTCTTACTTGATTCTGAATCTCTTCGTTCATCCAGATACTCCTGTACTCTGTTGTGGGTCTCTTCGAATTCTTGCACCAATTGCTCCATTTCCTGAGTAACTTTTTGTCTTGCTGTTCCGTTCTTCTGCCATTGATAGTGCTCTGACAGTGCGATCATGATCTTCAGTGCCCTTTCTTGTGTGCTGTCCAATTTCGTTTGCCCATCTCGAACCTGATGTCTGTTTGGTAGATCCATTTCTTCCACCAGTTCCAACAACTGCTTTCTTGCACGTGTGAACGCCGACTTTGCTTTTGCTTTTTCTTGCTTCAAGCTTTCCAATTTTTCTTCCAAATCTTCCACGTCTTCCCCTCTTCCGATTCCATCTTCTGTCCTTCCTTCTTCACCTGCGTTTGAAGTCATGCTTCTCGTCAATTGGCCTTCCTCTGTCCAAGTTTGTCCACGGCAAAACTACCCTCTGCTACCAAATGTTTGAAAGACCGTCCGCGACTTTTGATCCTTAAGCCCGAAGGCTAAAAACTAACTAACTAACTACGAATACGAACCTAATTTATACTATTAACGACGTAAACAACTTTAAAATATTGTCACTAGTTTGATTGTCCATTACGCAAGGGATTAACAAATACTGTCCTCTAAAAACACATTAACACTCTCTACTAACCAACCATTGTCCAATTTAACGCAAAACAACTTGCTCAAACAACTATTGTGTCCAGACGCGTAAAAGTTATTGTTCCAATCAACAATTACAAGAATGAAAGTATCACATGTCTGTCTTCTGAACACAGATCCTTGTGGTTCCCACGGCTTGAGCTAGCATGACCTAGTTTTATTCCCTACTAGCTAGCATGACCTACACCCTTGGCAAAAAATGCTGAGACACTCGCAGAAAATTGAGCTAGTTTCAAATCATCCAGCCCCCGTCCCCCCAATTCAATGTTGTGATGAGAGGAATTCTGCTCGCGGTCATGCCCAGTTATACCGCAATCATAAAACCCAACATTGACATCGGGGGGAAGGGGGTGTGGGCTACCAGAGCATGTTATATAATAAAAAGACATGTGACTTCACTTTTTGAAAAAAAGTCTCAGCTATTTTTTGCCAAGATTGTAGTTTTTTTTATTAAAAATTTCTATCTGTCTACACAGCATGCCAACGATGTGGAGAGGGAAGATGACGATGTTCCGCCTTCAATTACTGTCAAGGTACACTTTACAAGCTTATAGAGGAACCTTAATATTTTCCTTATTGAGTTGTACAAAAAACACATTTTTAAAATTTCTAACATAAAAATGTCTATGCTCAAGATGCTTTTCGTTGCCATGAAATTATTTATCAATATCCTTTGACAAAGAGAGCAATGAGGGTGCTAAATTTGCGGGAAAATGCCTTGAATCACGTGACACAAATGCTTGTATAAGCAGCAAATTGATGAAGAAATGTGTTTTAAGCGTTCAGTACAAGTGATACATTGTAATACAAGTGATTTTAAAGAAAGACGCAATTTCCGGACAATCAAGCTTGAATTGACGGATGGGGCTAAGTCTGCGTTTTCACTGCTCCGTATTCATTCCACTCCGTTTTCCTCTCACTCTGTTTTCATTTCACCCCGTTTTTGTTGATAAAAAAACTGTCCGTTCACGCTGATCAGATACGGTAAGTGTTCACACTGCTCCAACAAAAACGCTGTTGGTGGCCTCATTTTTGAACGGAGGCTTTCACGAATGCTCATCAAATTGGCAGCATTATGGATGAAATCAAATGAAATTGCGGACATTTTTGTGACAGTTATCCGCCTGTTGCGAAGGAGTCTCAAGAATAATCTTGTGTTTGAAAGATTATATCAGCCTGTTTTTATGTGTTTGTTGAAGGATATGAAATATCATCAATGTATCATTAATCAAGAAAATATCTTTTCGTAGTATTATGAGTAGGTAAATGCATATTTTGGTCTTATATCAATCAGTCTTACGTTTGCCACATTATTTACTGTGATAAACCTAGAGTCTTTTGGGTGCTCCACTTTTGGGTAGTCAGTCGTCTCGAAAAATTCGACGAATTTGTATTCAGCCTAAACCATGCTCAGCATAAAGTCATCTATAGATTTTTGCAAATCGTGCTTCCACAGAAAAAAACTTTAAAAAAAATGCAATTGCCAATTTATCTAAGAAAAAGTGTGTCATAATTTTTTACATTGATATTTACTTTTGAAGCCTGTACTGCACTGTTGAGATGGTTAATAGTTTCGCAGAAAAAATAATTTTTCATCAAAGTAACACAGGCGTTTTAAGTTCTTATATTATCCTGTTGTAATAAGATTATTAAAGCAAACAAATCCCATTTTTTCTTAAGGCAGGTTTTCACCGTGTTCTACTCAAGAAAATTGACCAAACGTTTTAAACCCAGTTAGATGAAATAATTTTGTTTGCTTTGATGCAGTTTTTATAAATTTCCATTCAAACTTTTTGACCTTTCTTTTATGTTTTATATTGACTTTATGTTTCGTGTTTTTTCCAGATAACTCTGACGTCGATGTCAGATACGCCAATAGAAAATATTATATTAACCTGCACCTCACCCTTTCCCATTGAATGCAGTAAAAGATTTATCGACGTTCCGATTGTCGGTAAGTGGAAAAACTTATCTTTTTTGTTAAAAGATATTCGCCCAGTTCTAAATCGCGATTCATCAGCCTGTGAGCCAACCCTATGTTGCTATGTCCTGCTTGTAAAACCGAAGCTTTACGAATAGAACTGTCAAGTCACTGCGTGAAATAATGCAAGGAATAGCAAAAGTTATAAATGGCAATACCTATTTTTCTATTTTCTATCTGAAAAGATGTAGCAGTTTGAAACATCACATTAATATATGTGAAAAAAATATATAAAATACTCGAGAAGTCGATCACCCATTCCTTTTCTTGTGTTATATGCACCTGGTGCATATTCCCCGATAAAAGTGTATTTAAAAGGAAGATATATTCTCATTTATGCTCTGCTATTGTATACGTGACATCTATGACCTAACTTTAAAATTTGGCAGAATAAAATTACAGTTTTCTTTTTCGTTGCGTTTTCAGTCGTCAGTTGTCCGTGTTTGTCATTTTCCGTACCTCTCCGACGTAGTAACGGGAGAGGAGGTGGAAAGAGGGAGATATATAATCAGAGTTTTTGTTAGAATCCTGAGGAAGGCCCATTTAGTATTTGAAAGTAATACCTCTGTATTAAAATATACTCTCGGTGACCATCTACAGCATAATCGCCCTAAACTGCTTCAGCAACCATTTTGCTGCGACCTTCTTTCCGATTTTAAAGCTTGACAGTAAAACATTTTTCCCTTAACAGGAGATCGTTCACAAAGCCTCGACTACTATATTTCGTTTTATACAACTGGAGGATCAATACCATCTACACTGACAGCCACTGTCTGTGCAACGTATTTCAACCAATCAGGTAGGAAGCTAATCGTCTACCGGGAATAATCCACTTCGCTTCTGCTTGATAGATTTTTATGTTTATGGACAACAAACTGCTCGATCGTGTTCACGTGATCTACTCTTCGTTGCTACATGTTCTATAACGTTCTCCCGTATATGTTCTATAGCTAATGAATAATAACAGAGTTTTGTACATGAGAAAATTGTGTTTATTAAGCAATATTCCGATATGCAATAATGTCTTTTGTCCTTTATTAGAGTCACCAAGAATCGTGCAGTGCAGCTTTGATTTGCCACTCTCACTGATCTGCCAAGGATGTGCACCCGTAAAACAAGCTCAACATAAGGTATGCTGTCATTTTTTGGTTTTGTTAAATTAAAATAAGATTTGTTTTTCATAACGACAAATTGATTTTGACACAAATTAGAAACAGTTTTGCTATGTCTATTGGACAAGGGCAAGGGACACTTGAAAGCCGCCTATAAAAAGTCTTCAGTGATGAATACTAAACCTTTTTGCTTCTATATGGTTAGTTAGTGTATCATAAGCTCGTTTTCCTTTCACATCTATCGATTAAACAGATAGTAGTTCCCATAGAGATTGAAAAATCACAATAACTTTCAGTACATTAAAGATCTAATAAACAAGGGTTTGGGAAACTTCTCTGAATTTTGAAGATGTTTAAATAAATTACTGACATGGTAAGTATAGTAAATCCTAGTCAACAAGCGATTTTTTGCAAGGCAAGACAAGACATTCCTGCGAATTTTATGCCAGTTGTCACGATGTGATCAAAAATTAATATGAATAAATACCGACTTTGTATATTTGAATTTTAAATGTTATTGCGGCGTTCTCAGCATAACTCTTCATCAGATAAGAAAAGATTCGGAGGGATAAAAGAGAATAGAGGTGTAGAATCGAAAGATCAACTATATGGAACGCAGTAGGAATACGACGTAGAACATAAGACTAGGTTGAAACATGCGAGATCTTAGAAAGCATATAGATAAGACAAGATAGTAAAATATATATTAATAATAAAAGCTGGATTAGGAAAAATAAGAAAATTGTTTGATAAGTCCATTAGGAATAAGAGTAAAAAATTTAAAATTTACATGTTTTTCGAGAATTTTTCGTTGAGTGTTGTTATTATTAATGTTGGCAAGTGTGTAGTTACCTTTTTTAAAATGAATAGAGACTGTGCCATCCGGGACAATGACCCGGATGTGGTGCCTTAATACAATCAACAAATGCCGGTTTGCTTTGATGAATACACGTCTCTTTACCAAACCTCTAACTATTGAATTGTAAGCTTTGATTGCGAATTGCCCATCGATAAGAACTCTCATGGGTTTTGTATTTCCTGGATCATTTTTTTGGTTCCTCTGTTATATAGCTGTTAGAAAACTAGTGATGATAGAAAGTTACTTAACTGTTTAGGTAAATCTTTTTTCAAGGCTTTCAATTTTTAAGGTCGATCGCTTTAGGGGATGTTGTCTTGCGTATGTATGTATTCGTAATTCACTTTTTTGGATATTCCTGATAACTTTAATTTATTACGAAGCCTCTTGAAATTGTTTTTAGTTGACAATCGATACCAATAAAGACCCAGTAAACCTTTCGGAGCTTTTTCCAGGTAAGCTTTTGTTTCTTTTAAATTTTTGGAAGTGCTATTTTTGATAAGACAGTTTGCGTGAGAAAAATCTGAACCTTTGACAGCCTATTCTGGTTAGGTCGGAGGAATCTTTTAAACTACACTTTTTTCTATGTATAAATTGTATTTAAGTCGTTTTAAAATTCGCTTCAGACGAGGTGACTCTTGATGGCAATGCTTGTGATCGCAGTGATATTTGTTAGTGTATTTATCATTTGGTGAATGCCTTTATTGTTTGCTGATGTCGATGAAGAAGCCCATCATTTCTTTGCTTTATAGTTTATGAACCCATCATTGCTTTATAGTTTTTGATTGTTTGTTATTGAATTTGCAGAAATGTTCAATGACAGTGTTATTCCTGTTGCTGCTCTGGGGTTCCAATACTATAAAGGTCCAGTTGTTACTCTTCTTTCTTCTAAATCATCAAGTAAGTGAATTCTGATTTTTGTTGAAATTTTGAAAATTGTTCATTTCTTCTCTTGAATATATTCTATTGATTGCACGAGCTAAACATTTTTATCGAATGGAGCTGCCATTTTACTTCAGTGAATTTTTAACTAAGGTGATTAATATTTGTTCAAACTCTTTCCAACAAAAGAAACCTGACTTACGTTTCCTCAGAATTAAAAAGAGTACTAAGGTTGCTTTCAGAAAAAGGAATACTTTCATTGTATACTGAAAGCACGTCCTTAGTGAGATTTTCCTTGGTGTATGAAACGCTGGAAAATGTCTAAAAGTTATAATGAAATTCATATCCAGTTGCAATGAAAAAACTTGAAAGGCTTCTTGTATTGTCCAGTGGTGCTCACTAGTCCCTACATAGTTAAAGGGTAAAGTTCAGAAACAAACTCTGATGTTATTGATAAATTTCAATAAAAGTGAAATGATTTTTCTGTGTCATTTTGAAATCATTTAGTATGGAAGGTTTTATCTATGAGAGTCCGATTTGGAGACGGGGGCGTCTACAACACTTCAGGATGACAGCAGGCACCGCCTAATTTTCTGAGCTTGTCAGGAAAATTAATGAAGCTAACTTATCATTTGTATGCCACCCTATCGGAATTCATAGCCAACTTTTAACATATTGATGTTCTGTTCTTTAAACTCTACGCAGAATCGAGATTTAAGATTTTGTGTACCTGTCAACGTTCAGTTCAGTTGGTAGGATATTGTTAAATAGCATTAGAAAGTTCGTTACGCAGACACTGTATCAATCATTTAATCAGAACATGTTTGTTTCAGATCGCTACCGATTGCAGTGTGATTTATTTGAAGGCCTATGGCCCATTGTAAATGAACACGTCAAGCGGCTGAAAGCATTTTACTCCAAGAGAAAGGTATTCAAATTAACCAATCAACACTAATGAGTTAAAATATTGTCGATGATCTTCTCATTTCTCCTTTTTATACTGCATCTTGATTCAGCTGTTCACTATTAAAGCGTTCTGTAAAAGGTTTTGAATACCCTACTCTCCTTCCGGTAACTCTGTTAAATCAGGAATATAAGTCGCCTTGCTATTTTGATTCTTATAGTTGAGTCCATACTGTTTCCGAATGGTCACTTTTTTTTAGTTGCAGTTATTCTCTGAGCTCATAGAATTCTGTTTGATTGCGTTGAGATAAAACGTCTAGTTGCTAACAAATTGTATCAAAATCTGTGATTTGATAGAATGTTATTGTATTTAGTAACCCCAATATGTCTTTTTCGATTGGATCATATATATACTAATTTCTTTTTTCTTTGAACGCCAATCGTCTTTTGAATTGGCTTAGGCCTTAATTTTACGATAAAATATTTCCTTCAGCCTATCTTCACTCTATGAAGTATGCTTGAATTTTTTTATCATGACTGTAAAATTATTTTGTTTTGTTTTGTATATTAACCTCTGCAATGCCATTCTTATCATATCGGTTTTCATTAATTTGTCTTTCTATTCATCATATCATTTTGGCTACCTTAATCGATTTTGATTTTCAACGTGTGGAACAGTTCCTATTTTGTTTAATATATTCTATTTTTGTCTTGGTATTATTTCAGGAGGGGTCATCATTCAAGGCGTCATTTACAGGTCCCCTTCCTCTCAACGAATATTTCGAACTCATTGATGCTCATTTCGAGGTAAAATGTCATATGATTTGTTATTTGGTTTGTTTATCCTACACCAAAAAGGGTTGTTTTCAGCTTCTGTGCACTGCTTTACGAAACTTCACCTTATCACATTATATCGTGTTATATCCTTCACGTCTCCTTTTTCCAAAGTTTAACGTACATTATTGCGCGTCACAAATCTCTAGGCAAATTTCTACTACCTTTCACATGATATTTGCATTTGTTCTGAAAGTTCTTTGTTTGCTTGGCCTTCGAGTTATTGAATTACAGTCCGCCATAACTTTACTTGACCACTTTCTTCCCAGCAAAGACAAAGCAGGCTTAAGTTCAAAGAACTTCTTGCCCAACGTGCGCATCAATTTCGAGTCATTCAGCGTCGATTACTTACGAGGTTCAAGGACAAGACACCAGCTCCACTAGCCAACCTCGATGTACTTCTGGAAGGAACTTATAGACAAGTATGAAAATTCACTAATAAATATTTAAATAATTGTTCTTGAGCCTTTGCTATATTCATATTTTGCTTAAACAGGTAACTAGTAATAAATCTCTTGATGTCTAGATGTCTCAAAATTTTGATAATCATCGTTAAATCTTATTCTTCCTTTCGTGTATTTCGGTGTTTAAATAAAGGCTCATTGGACGCTCTGATAATGCCCCTTCGATACAAGGAAAGTATCGTGAAATTTTGGCATCACAAATCTCTTTGCTGCAACGGTAGTCCAATTCATCACCGCGAATTTCAAGCTTTGTTTTCTTTACTCCTAGCTTTTAGCCCTCGGCGAAGCAGCAGAAGATTCCCAGCGTCAATGCATGCTCTATGGAAATGCACTGTGCTGTGGAACCAAATTGGTGAATCTTTTGATAAAGTAAGTCTGTTAAATATATATTCATCATTGTAGCAAGAGTAACGATCTTTCTTTGATTTTATTCAAGAATATACTTGTTATTATTGCAAAAGATTTTTTTAGGCATGCCATCATCTTCCTTTCTGATTATATCCTTTTGTTGTTTGAAAGTATCTTGTAAATCAACTTTACTTCACGTCAGCTATAAAAATCGTGAATAACTACATGGCGTCTGTTTCAAATACTTTTTACCGTAACAGTTCAATGCATTCCTATAGGGTGGCTTTTCAATGCATTCTCATATATTTTTTTTGAAAGGAATACACCAGGCTTTCATAATAATATCTAGAGTTGTCACTTAAATGCAGGCTACTCAGTGTAAGATTTTAACGTCCGGTGTATTCTTTGCACTTTCCCTCTCCTATTAGTCGTAATAATATCGTGGAATAACGTCGTGTACTATAGAAGTTTTTATCAATTCTGATGTTTTTACTGTTTGTCACCGATCAGATATTGGACTGGCATGAATGATAAGCAGTTTGAAGTTCTGCAGTCCTGCTTATCGCCGGTTGTCTCAGACTCTGATGAGCAGGTAAAGTTATTTTCTTGATTTTCTTCTTATTCTCCTGTAAAAACCGTTCTCTGATGCTCAATGGGAATTCTCAAAAGTTTCTTTTTACTGACTGTAGTATATTTGAAAACAGAAAATGTTATGCAATATTCAAGTTCTAGAACAATATTATTTTTATTGACATATAATTTCGAAATGAAATGTACTATGTAACCCTGAAATAAGTGTATCAAAGATTAAAACATTTTCTGTACCTATGAATATGGAACATATTGAGATTTTAGGTTTGAATTTTTAAAGACTCAAATTTTATTGACAACCAGTGAATATTCTTGAAGCTTTGGGCCTTTCGTACAATATATTTCTATCATTCCATTTTTCAGTTCTTTCTTGTATGCAGTGCAATATATTTTTGAAACTACTTTCTGAGATCTCGTATTATATTTTTTCTAAGATTTTTGTAAAGCATTTAATTACTTTATCTTCAAGGACGTTTGAATTTATGTAGATGTAGTTCAGGCATAGCTTAGGTATATAGGCCTTAATTCTTCGTTCTCCATTCATGCAAAGGGTTGGGAAGAAATAACAGATGCAGCCATTACACATTTGTTGAGAACCTGCTTGGCAAAATCATCTAAAGATCAAAACAGTAAGTGACCAGTGATAGTTAACTCTATAACTTTATTAACTATTAACTATATCTTTATATATTACAGCTAAAAATCGATTTTTTTAAGCATTAAATTGTGTCATAAATAAATTAACCTTGTTATAAAAATAGGACCTATCTTTTATTTTCTGCAGCACTTTAATTCATACAGAATTTTTCAAAATAACTTTGAAAGCGTTTTGTACAAAATATCAGAGCTATTTCTAGCCAGAATTTCGATGAAAAATCGGCATTTGTGAAACATCTGTTTTAAATTAGAATTTCATTTAAAGGTGTTTGTGATTTTATTGAGCGCCCATACTTCATAAGGCGTTCTTTTTTGTATAATTTATTCCATTAATTACAATTTAATCTTTTTGGAAACTCTTTTTTCAAGGGAACATCATCATCTTTTATTGGTAACTAAAAGTTTAGGCAATCGTCCTAAGGTTATTAAAGGTATATTTCTGTTCATTTGGAGGCTGTAAATTAGAAACAGCCTAACGAGAGAAATTCTGTTTAATTGTAACAATTAGACATGAGCATCCAAAAATCAGCAGTTTTTGTAGAGAGTGGGAATTTATTGCCTCCATATAGAGCACTTTGTGTTTGTCTTTGCAGCTACAATACAGGCCTTGGCAATGCCAAAGGATACAGCCAAACTCAAGAAACACATTGCTTTGTTGACTGAACGGCTGAACAAAGGGGCCAAGCTTGATTTGAGTGGACAGATGCAAAATGACATTGGGTTTAGAACAGAAAACAAGAAACAACTGGAGACACTCAATGAATCACAAGAGGAAAGCGAAGACACGACAGGTTTGTTTGTTTTGTCAGCCCTGCATCTTCGGATCAAAAGTTTGGAAGACAGTCCTGCTCTTTTCGTGAATAAATTTACTTAGTGTAACGCAAGTTTTTAATTGAAATGTTTTTGTCAGAAATTTCTATCTATTGATAGTTCATAAGTTCCCTTCCTTTCGATTTTATACACACTTTTAATAAAAGAGTATGGTCTATAAGAATATTAAGACTGAAAATCGCTGAAATTTAAGAATAATATAAGAATAATCAAAGATTCAAGCTTGATCAAGAATCTTTTGTTTACTGGAGTTTTTTGGAAAGCAAAAAGAAATGCGAGTTTCATGCTTTATGTCTTAAAAAAAACGTATCCGGCTTTGGATTTTTCGACATAATATGGGACTCAGTGACACCTTTTGCCGCTTAAGAATAATTTAAGGATAATCTCAGACTCAAGATAAAAAAAATTGAAATAGAGGCTCAGCAAGAACTTAGGTATTCTTTTAAAAAAGTGTGTATATGTCCTGTAGGTTTGATTTTATTCTTAACAGGTTTTATTTTTGATTTTATTTTTCATGTTCTTAAACATGAATCTGTAAATGGTAGTAAATAAAACTGTAGAATAACTGTATTTTATTTTTGATTTTATTTTATCAAAGTTGACGTTTTTCGATCATTTTGCTTTATGCCGTTTCACTGGGCTGTTGGTAGCCATCTCTATTTTTCATAATGTTTGGATAACTATGTTAAAGATGTATGTTTGTAATAATCTCGTATAATTTAATGATTTCTCATAAAACTCTTTGTTTTAGACGGAGTGCCGCAGGAGGTTACAGTAAGCTCGACGTCAGCCTTGAGACCTGAGAAGACCTTGGAGCCACTAAAGGAACCTACGAAAAGAGACAAGCTTCCAAAACTGAAAAACAAACTAGATAAACGCGTTTTGATTAATGAGAACTCAGATTTGGCTGCAATGATAGCTAAAACTGCTGCAAGTGTTGACGATGCGAACGCACAAGTAAATGGGGAATGAGATTTGTAAATAATTGCTAACTTGAAGTTAAGTTTATTCCATTGTGGGAGGTATAGGGGAAGTTTTACTGTACAGCACCCTTATTATCTCTAATTATTATAAGTTAATTGGTATTTTTCATGTTCTAAAACACAGATCTGTAAATGATAGTGAAATATTACTGTAGAAACAAGATTTATTCCTCCTTTACAAATAATGCGCAGAAACAATAAAAAGTGCCGTGTAATACCTGAGAGACGCAGAGATATAATAGAATACATTTCTCTAGAGACTTAAATGTTTACAAAGGTTGTTATTTATCATTGTTCCTCTGATGCAAGTATTCGTGATTTAAAGCAAATACATATTCCCTAGTGCTCCAATCTTAGCGAACGTCTCCCGGCACTGGATCGTAGATTCCTTTTGTTCATGCAAAAATTCCGGCCAGTTGGTGCCATTGCAAGGGCCTAATCGACGATTTCCTGGGTTTTTCAGCCTTTTCTTTGCCTCAAGACTTCTGAACGACGCTGGTAAGTACGCATTGTGTTTCCATGTAATTTATATCTTTGTAATCTTAAGATCCATGTAATTTATGTCTACTTGTTGGGTTTATAAAAGGTTTCGTTTAGCATCATTTTTACATTAGGCCTTTTGGGGAGAACCAATTTTTCTTACAAACTGAAAAGATCGTAGATCATCTGTCTAAAATACCTATAAGTAACAACAGGGTAAAATTTTGCTCTTAAGAAACAACGTCGAAGATCTTCGAAATGTAAGACAAGCTTTCGTTCTGGTAAACTTTGCTCCACTTTTTTAAAAGGAAGCCAAACCCTTGCACCCTTATTGCTAGCAAATCTTCAGCAGTGATTGAGCTTGACCTTCTTGTTTGTGATATTATTCTATTCATTTGTCTGAAGTTCATTTTACATAGCAGGTAAGATAAGAGAGAAACTAGTACCTTTTGTAAACACCTTAAAATTTAAAAAAACAAGATCATTGCAGATTATGAAAACAAGCAATTCGTTCTCATACTTACATATATAAAAGTTGTTAGCGTTAATTAACAGAATAAATAGGCATTAATTAAATATATGACAATTTACAAAGTTGTATATAACGGTAGCATTCGTATGAAGTCTAACACGGCAAGACTATAAAAATACTCAACGGCAAATATAAAAATATGTTTCGCTATGAATGGTGACTAAATCAATTGAATTGAGAACGAACAGGGGGAAAATGAATTGTGAATTTCATATCACTATGTAACGTACCAGGGAAGCTTTTAATACAACATATGGAGTAGGGTGATTGAAGGGGATGGCGGGAGGGTGTGATTTGTCTGTATCGATATATAGACAGTAAAATTATTCTTTCAGATCATGCATTTTTAGAATGTTTTGTCAAGTTCTGGAAGGGTTCTTATAGCAGGACGGCGTTAAGGGCCAATGTCATTCAAAAGGATGGTATACAATTACAAGAATGTGTCCAATGTGACCCTCTCTTCATATTTACATGAAAAAGAATTTAAAGAAACTATCATTCAATACTACACACCACGTTTAATAAAACCTAGTAAAATTCAGATAAAGCTGACGAAAAGACATCGATATAGATAAAATGTAAAGCATTTTATGATTTGGGCGTTATTTCAAAAACTTTTATAAACACAGATTTAATATTAGTCAACATAAACCATTCATCTCTATTACGATTTCCATTCTAGAAACAAAGAATAGCGGGCATTCTGAACGGAACAAAATTTGCAACCAGGTACGTGGGAATCTTCTACGTAGATCTTAGACTTTTTATAATGCTAAATGAAGGGTTGTAGCGGGTTTTTTTGTGAGGGGGGAGAGGGGGGGGGGGTGGTTTGGAGTGAGAGCAAAACCCATCCTGAAAACCTATGGAGTATAGTTAGCATTTCTAAAATATCCTGTGAATTCTTGTACTTATGCTACGGTTCAATCACTTGAGATTTTTCCATTATTGAGCTCTATCCACTCTATCAGCTGCTGGCATATTTCATCTGTTGAAACATCTTTATGTACGTGCGTTGGGCCTAGCTAGCATATGTGAACTGAAAAGCACCTTTTAGTTAGGTATTACTTCAAGCGTAGTTTGGAAATGGTGCCCTAATAGTCTGAAAATTTCGTGGCGCAATTTTGCATGCGTGTTCTCCGCTTGTTAACTATGTTATGGATCAGCAGAAAGCTCGGGTTTTAACTCTGTCGCCCAAAACGAGGATTCTTTTCCTGCCGGACGTGCAGTTGTCTACATTTGTGATACTTTGACCTAGAAGCTTTTCTAAAACCGCAAACATTATCCCGTGTTATCCGGCCTTTAACTATGGAAATGCTCATGAGGCTATTAGAAAGACACACTGTTGTGACCAACATATTCAATAGAAGTTTAACCGTAGATCTTATGGCCTTCTTCATTCATTCAATCATAGAGAGGTAAAGCAAATAATTAAATAGGCGTAATATCGTGCTTCACCGTTACGAGACTGAATAGGTATGGCCTACTATGATGATCATGTACACTTTTAGCTTAGCAGAAAACATTTTGTCCAACCAAAAACACACATTATTCTAGTCTTGCAATTGCCCCCCAACACTCGAACACAGCATTGTTATTTGAAACACAAATCATAAAAACAATTGAAAACAAATTGATGACATTAAAATATTTGTGGGTATAATGGTAATGCCTCTGCAGCATCAGTAGAAACTGGATGAATTAAGGAGTTACATTGTCCTTTCATGCTTCTTAAAAGCAAGGAAGTGGAAACTTTTTAAGGTTTTCTATATAAGTGTTTGTTGAAAAGACGTAACAATTATAAACGGGCAAAACGTTTCCTAGGGCTGGTTTATATGAGCAAATATATCCCACTTCTCAGCCCACAATCTGGCAAGTGCGAAGATATAAACAGGCCCTTAGCCATCTACGTTTTTTGAGAGGTTTCTGTTACTAATGATTTAAAACCATACGGTTTTTTGAACATTCAATAATTAAGATTAATTAACAATTGTAACTTTGAATCGTTTCAAACCTCAGTATAAACGTGCATATAATGTCAATTGAAAAATGGATTATTCTCCTTAACTAAACCACGAAGCTCTGCCTCTTTGCCTTCATGCCTTATTCATATCGCAAAAAGCAGTCATTGGTCCCGATATGGAAGACCCTGTCATTATGCCACAACGTCTTTAGCCGACCTTATCCTGCTATTTGCTGCTGCTCTTTCTTTTCAGTGTTTCGTGTGGATATTAAGTTGCAAGCATCTAACCAGAGATGCACCCGTGTGGATATTACAGTTTTAAATGTAATAATAACTAATTTCATGAAACATATATGATATGCGTGCCAGAGAAGTTCGATATTAATTTCCATACATACGGTTATTTCCTTGGACATTCCCTCGGAAGAACGCATCGGTTCCGATGCCACACGTAACCGGCATTGCAGTGGCATCCTTGCACGCAGGGTTTGTTGCATTTAGTTCTTTTCCGGTAAGTTTTGCACGTCGGCTTACAACCTGGCCCGCAGTAACTAAATCTACTTCCGCCTCCACACCGCGCATCTATTGAAAATACAAAATAATCAATTATTACTATGCTTTGAAAGCTATAACTAACTTATAAATGCATCCTATTTTGCAAATTTCAATCTGTGCAAAATTTTTATTCAAAGCTGTGAAAACAGATTGCACGATATTTGGAATGACTCAATGAGCTCTTCTCGATTAGAAAACAGAGTTTACGACACTCTTTCTTAAACCTGGGTATAATATTTATGTAAATATTGGCAAAGACAACCAAATAAGAGGTGCAATGACGTATTTTTGAAAAACTGTCAATGTATCATCTAGATAATGAAATTACTACTTTTTTTCGCTTGGATGTTTTCTACCATACGGTACACTTCTATAAAGCATAGAAAAATATTGAATCATTGTCAGGGAAAAAGTGCAGGGACACTGCCAGATACAATGCTGCTCTACCAGATGTATGTGTGAAGAACGGAGCTTTTAAGAAAAGATCTGACGAAAAATGTCATTTTAAGCATAACAAATGTTTTAAATTCAGTAATGGCGGACCTGACATAAACTATTTCAATGACCTTAGACAAATGAAAATTCGTCTGTTGGTTCGACAGATTGTTATAGTGTCACTTCGCGTAACGGCAGAACAGGTAGAGAGGAAATGATTTACTATTGTGAAATGTGATTCTTATATATATACGGTTAGAATTCTTGGCAAAAAAGGAAACATATCTTTGTGTAAACATTAATGGTAATCTTATGTGATTACTCTATTTGAGTATTGGCTTTGAGCAAACTATGAAGCAGTTTATAAACAGGTGGCGACGCACTATAATTTGAACAGGCCTAAATAAAGCATCATAGACATTACTTACTGCACGTATCTTCAGATTTCCAAGAAACTTTCCCCTTGACGCGACGTTTGCATTCTGCCATGTATGCCTTTATGGCGCTACATTCGCAACGTGCATTGAATGGACACCCACACACATCAAATATACATGACTGCTGGAACACGGCTGGATTCACCTTCATATGGCATTTTCTCAGCTTTGGATCTCTGAATATCCTGCATGTTTTGTGAGCATGCCGTAGTTTAAAGCCTAAACAACGGTTCCTGGGTAAATAAGCCGCCTTGTACATCTGATGACAACTTGAGTCTTTACCAACCAGCCACTCTAAAGCAAATGCTTTTGGACTTCCAGGGTATCCATTCGATAAATGCAGATCGTCGTGCGAATTGCCGTTGAAGTTTCCACATAGGCCACTAACTCGATTCATGTATGCACTGGAAATACTCACTGAAAGATAGCTATCACCATCCCATTTAACCGTCACACCAATATTTGTATAAACGCTCACGTATCGCTTGTCTCCACGAATATCGAGATAAGGGTACTCTAAATACGGCGTTCTTATTTTCTTCCCGTTTAGCCTCACTTTCAGCTTCTGCTGTAGACTAATGCTGTATTTTCCGAATTTTAGAAGAACAGTTTTCGTCCATGAAAATCTTCCAGTGTACCGTTCGCTGTTCCGAACATGAATTCCGAAAGTATTGTTGGTTTCTTTGACAAAATGGTATTTGCAAGTTCCTTGAAATGAGTAGAACTTTCCATCGAATGTTTGATAATGAGGGTCGCCAAATGTCACACAATGATGTTTCTCTAATGGGAAAAGAGTGATGATGTAATAATACATCGTTTGGAGTAAAATAAAGATATTTGGTTTGGAGCAAAATAAAATTTCACTGTGGCAAGGCGTGTAATAGGAACAACAAAGAGGTTTGGCAATAGTGGTTTTAAAATAAGAAATGTAATTTGCTATTTTCTTTCATTTAAGTTTCAAAATTAGAGGTGAGCACCGTTCATGTGATAGCTATTTATGTATTTTATATATAAATGTCGACTTCAACTAGTTAGATGCAATTCATAAGGTAAATAGATAAAATAAACTTCTCACTCTCGACACAAGCTTTGCAACATGATCCAACGTTGTATCCTAATGTTTGTCCCTGTGAAGAAAAGCACATTTGTAAAATTTCCTGTAATGAACCAAGTATTGCATCAAAAGTCAGATGTTTGGTTAATACTTCAACGTAGGACTTGCTATTAGACCTTTATCAAGGTATAGTTCATTAAGGGTTAACGTCCATTAGCAGAGACAACATTAGGCGATCAGCTGTAGGTAATATATTCCCAGTACTGATCTTGTAAGATCCGTACCAACCTAGTATTCCCATGAATCAAAAAGAGACTGAAACTTCATAATGGCGGATGATCACTTACAGTGGGACAGCTTGTTGGCTGGTTCTGGCAAAGTTGTCTTCTGCAAAAATTCCTGCCATTCTTGCAATTACATTCCACGCATCCTTTCAGAAACCATTTGTCTCCGTTCTATCAAAAGAAATTCATAAAACTGAAATTAATATCCAACAATGATTCTGTCATGTTTGTCATGAAGTTTTAAGTTTGACTATGATATCTAAATCACAAACAGAAAGCTTCAAGGAATTAATTCCTGAAATAAGCTCAACAATATTGCATATTTACCGAATATTTCTTTCCCATGAACATGCACACTGAAGTATCTATTTAGAAGAATAATGAAGGTATCAGTGTGACGTCTTTATAATACATGTCAGAGTAACTAAAGTCAATGCAATCAAATGAACGGTAGAATGTAGACAAACAAATTGTGAATATATTTGCAAAAGAATCGAATATTAGTTTATTCAATATAGTTTTGTCGTGGTAATGTACTCTTTTCTTCTGTTCGCTGCCAAGGCCTTGTTCCGTTTGCATCTTTTCTAGTTTTTCAGCTTTACATAGTTTGGAAATGTAATGCAGTAAACTAAATAAACTATATCTTGATTGGGTTCCAAAAAGAAAAAGCCTCACCTCGACATTTCGGGCAGCATCTGCTTCCGGAGAAAACAAGATTTTCTGGTTTGCAATTCAACTTTGGACAGGTCTCGATCTGACACAGTGCAGTTCCATTCTATCAAGGGAAGGTTGCTTAAAATCTACTAAAATGTTTTCAAGCAAGGAAATAATAAAGAGATATTGAGAGGGAAAATCATTATCAGTGAAATTTTTTGCTTACATATGTCTAACCAATTTTGTGAATCAGTTAGGAAATAGTTTATAACAAAAAGTTCAAATATTGCTGCAGCAGTTGAGCAACAAATAACTAAGAGAGGTGAATTTTTAACTTACTAAGCATTGACAAAGTTCGCAGTTACTCTTTCGGTGCCATTTGCCATCTTCCACTGATTTTCCACTTATCAGACACCATTTGTCAGGAATATAAACGGGTGAAAAGTTTTTATCTGTAAAAGGACAGTGAAAAAGACCTATTAATTCGTTTGTAAGCGAATAATAAAGGCAAGCAAAAAGAGCGTTCATCAAATTGTCGATAGTATTGAGCTAAATTATTATACGTTTAAAAAAACCTTTTTTAAAATTGGATGAATAGATAGGAAATCTAAAGGGGGGGGGGGTTATGTTGCGTCTAACTGATTAAAAATCACAATATTCTAAATCATACTAATGTAGATCAATTGTGGCTTCCCAGAAACAAAAGAAATATCAAATTTCCCTGATTTCTATTCATGTATATTTAAAGAAAAATATACAAACCATCACATTCTCTACAGCATTTTGTGGGATCCCTCGGTTGTAGGTATTTGCAAGGTAATACGGGGCACACTTCATTCCGGCAACTCAACGAACCATTCTAGGTGTAAGAAAAAGATTGATGTTGTGAAATGATATTATATTCAAAAGCTACAATAATAATATGAGCTTGTTTTGGGTTTCATTTTGCAAGCTTTGCCATAATAAGAAAAGCTTTAAGTTCATGAACCATATAAAGTAGGATGAACATCTTTCTAATAATTTTGCATTCATGAAGCTATCAAAGGATGGTCATTGGGTACTTTTTATAGCTATTAAAATTGGGTAGCTGCTTCTTTTTGCAGTCTTACTAACTGCAGTTTTTTGTATACTGGAGACGTTTTCCTTTGTGCACAAAGTTCAAAATTGCATAACAAAAGATGGACATCTGTTGGTGCCCGGTACACCGCTTTCATTTTTCAAAGAATTTCTTGTGGTAATTTAGATAACACTAAGGTATGATTTTGTTAATGCTTTCCGAGTTAAGCTTTTCAAACGGATTTGTAAGATTCGTTTCTTAGTCTCAAAATTCGAGTTCAATTGTTACGTCTATCTGGGCCATGATGAAGTGACGTTATTGTAAATACTAGTACCCAGGGCTTTTTATTGGATGGCTTATGACGTCATTGTAAAATCGGCTCTGTTTACATTTGAAAAAATGTATTTTCCTTGCGTCTCATCGTTTACTATGTAAGAGTAGATTATAAACCCAATCTGCCTGTAATTCAATTCAATCGTTCTTTTATATGAAGATCATTTACCTTCTGTTTACAGAGTATACATGGATCATCTGCTAACGGACGTTCTACCTCTTTGCTATTGTTCTCCAGATTTTCGTCAGTTGAATTATTTGTGACAAATATATCTTGGGTAGCTGAATAAAAACAGAAAACATCTAACAAATTTGAAAGTTAAAGAAAGGAGCAACATTACAATATTTAATCAATAAATGAAAGCTGTTTTGGAATTTCTTAGAACTTATTACGTCAAAATCTTGCTTTCCAGTACTTGTCAATTATTTGAATTGTCTGAATAAGTTCTGTTTGTTTGAAATGTATGCTGAGGCTGATAAACTTTCAGGTAATAAAAACTTAGATCTCTCTATGAGATACCTACTTTAAAGAGAAAGTCCTGATTTAAGATATTTTGGTACTGAATACAACATCGTTATCGCCATGTATTTTTAATTACAAAGAATCTCCATGTTTGGTTCACAAGCGATAAGTAAGACGATACACGATTAATTAAAATCGTGGCTGTAGTAAAGGTGAAGTTCTGACAAAGTCATTCTTCAAACACCAAATCGATTTTGCGAAAATAATTTTGCTTGATGCTAATGTCCTTATAGTCTTACCATTTATTAAACATGCTTTTTCTCCTTTAAAATGTTACTTTTCGAAATCCAGATAACTAATCCAATCATACTCCAAAGATATAAGAAATCTTTTTCCAAATATATAGAAAAACTGATGTTATAAGTTTCTCAACCTACTGTTTAATTTTATGGACGGGCAACACGACCCTCTCTCTTGGAATTCACTAGAATTTGTTGCATGGCTAAACGGACATCGCTGGAGATATTTTGACACAATTCCTTCCTAAAATAAAGCGCATAACTCTTTCAAAAATATTTAACAAACATTGTACGCGAAATGTTAAAAGGCAAGGGTACAATGGGCGCAGTTCGTGACAAAAATGAAAATGCTGATTTGCCGTTCTTTGGAACAGGATGAAGTCCAACGACTCTTTCTGTAAACATGACATAATCTTGGCGTGATCATAGGAGTCTAATACCCTTGATATCGTGTCTTAACCTAAAAGAGCTCAGATAACTGAATGCACGGACCGTGTTTGCCTAAATCCAAACCAATCGATTGTCAAATTGAGGGTGAAATATGTAAGACCCTTGGATTTTAAGAGATTATTCCTTTTGCTTTCTATTTACCAATAACAGAAAAATCACACAAATTATCAAAGGACCTTTTCAGCATTCTGTTGAGTGGTTCTATTCACGCAGATTAAACCTTCAAAAGCAGTATCAAGTTTGTAAACATTTCCATTTTATAACGCATTTGATATTAATTATTAAATGGTCGGTTAGTCTGCCACTGCTAGAGTGGGGTTTCCAGAATTCATAATCCTAGTATGTGAACTGGATTGAGTCCTAGGGTGGGTAGTATCCTCGGTTGAATCAAAGAGCGGAGGTAGACTGCTTAAATAACATGAAACAGTTTTGCTTCGTCCTTTCTTCTTTTATTTATTACGAATGCTATCTAAGATCGATTACCATTTCACCAATCTGCTAAATATATAAAAGATATGCTTTAATTATAGCCAATGAACAAAAGACTAATGATTGTTCTGTAACTAGAATGTGTTGTTTAATATTTTATCGTTGACAAAACTGGTCAGTTCTATATAAAAATCATAATTTCTTAATTGTTAGGTCTATATTTTTAGAATATACGGAATTTCTGAAGGATTTGACAAGCTTAATTCAACCCTTCTTTTAGTCTGAAGAGCATTTGCTTTTGGAAAATACAGTTTTTTGAACCTTCCATGAATCGAATACTCGTTAGTGCTTATAATTTTGCCTACAATATCATACAACCTATAATATGATATTCAACCTATAATATGATATTCAAACTATAATATGATATCGCCAATGACGTCATAAAACCTACGTTGGCAAATAAGAATTTAAAATTTTAGAATTTTGACCGTTTGATAAGGAAATATTAGAAGTAGTTCAAGTTAACCTTTGAACATTTGAACAAAGTGTGAAATCTTATCATAAATTTGCAGTTATAGAAATAAAACATTTCCAAATTGCCAAATAGCACAGGACATTATCAAATCAAATAACACAGGGCAGATTTTTCTTACGCGAGAAATACTGTATGTGGAGTTATTAACTATTTGAAACAGAAAGTTGTTAAATTGTTTATTGGAACAGATGTTCGGCATATAAAAAGGTGAGAAAAAGTGGGTAATGTATTACTCATAAATCTCACCCTATCTCTTTAAAGCCCCGCATATAATTAAATGAAAACTTTGTTAAAGGAAATCGAAATTGCATTTTCATTCACTTTTGTCTCCTTAGCAAATCATGTGGTTTCAGTTGTTCTCCAAAGATTTTCGCAAGTTAACAAGTTTGTACCTTGAGCTTCCGATAAAATTTGGTACGAGAGCTGTTTTTAGAACTAAAAATACCATCCACGTAGATGGCTTTTGTGGTTTTGTGTAAAAAATTTTCTAAAAGGTTAAAAACCCGTTACTTTAAGTAAACTGGGTTATACAGTATAATATTTGCTGATCAGTAAAGAAGGAAAAATCTATACACAACAGAGGAAAAAGAACTCGCATGCAAGAAAGAAATTTTATGTACTTACACGGCATATAAGGTTTTGGCATGGGTTAGCTTTATCTGTCCAACTTTCACCGTCTTTGTAACTAGTTCCGTTATAAAAACAACCTATGGAAAGGAAAACATGATTTTAGTCTTCAGCAAACATTGTAGATGCAGTTGCATGGAAATTACATATATCTGAAGTATTGCTATGATAGTGGGACTGTGACTGTGTATTGAAAAACCTACGAAACAAAACTGTTTTGCACGTCAGTGATAATCTCACAAATAAAAGTCTGAATAAATCTTAAATATGAAATACAATCGCCAATTTTCGAGCCTTTTCTCAAATTTGTTACGATCACGTCTTATGAAGTAGTTTGGCATCAGTTGTTCAAGACCTTATCCTAACCAGTTGATGCTGTGTATGTAAGGGCAAGGAGATTGGGCTTTGGAAAAAATTGCATCCAATCTCCCCAAGTACTATTCATAAACTTTCTTAACTACAATGGGCATTTAGTGTCTGTTTCCCAACGTAGCCATCATTACTTAATACACGCTCCTTATGTTCATTTGCTGTGTCTATCAACAGGCCTCAGTTCGGTGATGCTGTTACGTCACAGCCGTGAAAGGCTAGACCAACAGGAGCTTTATCGACGGTGCCTTCTTACGATTCTACAAGCACTGCTCAAAAATTACTCCTTCATTGAGTAACCGTCATTCAGCGTATCAAATGATGGCAATAAACCCCATATTTGCGATTGATTTAAACTTGACTCGTATGATTATCCCTACTTTTATTGGGTGTGTTTAGAGACTAAATATTTATTCTGTGCAAAGGCCTATAAACGTTTTATCAATGACAGGCTTAAGATTCGGTTGTCTGTGGCTCTTCTTAAATCTGTCTAAATACCAATTGCATCGGAAAAAGTTTTTGGTGATCACAAGATGTGTTCTCCATTCTCCAATAAAATTCTTAACAAACGCCCACTATCATTCTATGTTATTTTCAATCATAATAAATACCCTGTTTTGGTTGTAAAAACAAAGAAAATTCTCTTTTATATTAGAAGGGCACACCGGAGATGTTTTCAAGTTATCAAGATAGGCACCATGTCTCAATCGAATGCGCTTCTCATCTTTTACGACGGTTGTACCTTTTTCATGCACCCTTCAGATTGTCTGGCCTTACACTTAATATGTTTGCATGATCGAATTTGGATTTTTCGGCTAGCATCGCTTTGACAAAATCTCTTTGAAACAAAATCTGCGAACATAATGGCTCTTAAAGCGAAAAATCTTTTAATATGTGTCTAAGCAAGGATCCAGACGTGTTATGCTAACAGAAATCATTCAATAGGCTTTTATCCTAGTAACAATTAGAAGTCTCCAAACTAAATATTTAGACGAAGATTTTGTGAATTGGTTTGCATCTCCGGTAAAGATTATAGTCCAGCTATTAAGCATCGGGCAAACTGTTAAATAACGAACAGAGACAGGCTTTCCTCCATCTAGACCAACATCATATCAGCCATTATGCATCACAAATATCCTAAATACTCTAGGTCAACACAAGAAACAATAAGAATATCTTCCTCCACGCGTGCCGAGTTTTCTTATACCATCTGCAGTTTCAGTATATTTTCAGTACATTACTAACAAAATTGACTTCCAAATTCTCAAAGGTATTAGTTGACATCATTGATTTCAAATAATTATAGTTAATAGATCGGACCAAGTAGTGGTTTATGACAGCAATACAGCGACGTATGCCTGAAGCGATAAATCTGCATTCAGGTGTGCCAGTAACTCCGATTTAAACTGCTATCAAATGTTTCTTTACGACTTAAAATTTTCTACCTTTAACTGAGCCATCAAATCTAGATGACCTATCCTGCAGATGACTGATCCACCCTACACTGGCACCGCGGAGCGTTGAGAAAAGTGGGGGTCTAAAAAAAGTGGGGGGCTAAAACCGTATGAAAAGAGGCTTTTCTGGTAGTTTGATACTTAGTATTTGGCATTTCCCCCCAGCCCTCCCTGCTCCGCGGTGCCTGCTACAGTTGATTAATTTCAAACGCAATTACCTTTACAAACTCGACAGCAGTTACTGTACGCAGGCTCAAACACTTTGCATTTCAATTGTGGACATTGCACTCGTCTTGCCTGACAAACCTCTGCACCATCCTTGAAAGGAAAATAGACAAATTGTATTGGCAAAAACACCTTGAAGGCAAAAAACAATTGGTTATCCTTATTGTGCTTTGCACACAGTATATTCGCCTTCATCTAACATAAGCAGGTTTTTTCAAGCTACGTCCATTTGCATTTTTTCATCTACGCGAATGTCCTTATAACAGTATTCTATGGAGCTCCGTAAAAACGTATCTGAATACATTGTAACTATGACTTCCTCATTCAGGATGAAGTCAGACCTTTATAATGCTTATAATAATGTTGTAAAATTTATATTGGATAGGATAGATGATAGCCTATCTTTCTTGAACTTGTAGAGTTTAGAGGGTGATGTGAGATTAAAGTTTCGATTTAGAAATTTATGCTTAGAATTTGTGGTTTATACGTGTGTGTAGTAATGGAATCAGATATGTCTGGAAGTATATTTGGATTTGAGTTTGTAATTATGAAACTCGAAATATTTGGCTGTATTCTATCGTACGCATAGCGGGCCTAAATGAATTAGTTACATCACGTCTGCAAGACATATGACTTAAGAGCCAGTAACATGACCACGAAAAACAAGCTGAAACGGATTCTTCGTCATATCTAAAGCCAGCCATGTCACACCCGTCTACTCTGTAATAGTTTTAATTTTTATAAGTTAAGGAAGAAGAATGGATATACTTGCCTTCATGAAGCAAACACATTCCAAACAAGGAATAAAGTACCATGCTGGGAACAGAGAACCAATTTTATCGGATTCACCAGATAAACACTTGGTGTAGTCTGCAAGAGAAGAAAAGTTCAATTTATTGAGGTGTATATACTGAATATTGAAAGGGAAAGTGTAAATAGACATGAATTGCGGAATCATAACAAGGCATTGAACATCATGAAACATTACGTTTGAGAGACGAACGGGCGAAAAACGTGAAACGTGTGAGACAGCCCTCCATCGCATTCTCTTTGACCGAGGGTTTGGCACACTCTTCAAAAGACGTTTTCCTGTATGTTTCCTACAAGTCAGTACTCCAAACTATTTTAGCAAACCAAAGTAGTTTAAAAAACAGTGCTTCATTCTAAAAAGGCATTTATAGCGTTGACAAAAATCTTCCTTCTGTTTTTTGACAAAAATATTAGACTACCATGATGGCCTTAAAAATCGATTATGATTTTCTGCGTGAACAAATATCCCTCGATTTTATAAACCTGACATTGAAATGTGTCATGGCAAATAATAAAAAAAGGCACAAATCATTCCCCGAAAGAAAAATAAATAAAAATCGGCTGCCTGATCTACACAAACAAGTCGGCCTATGTTAGAACAAAACACAAACAACATAAGTGAGAACAGCAAAGAAAGATCAAAACAATGGTAGAAGTTAATTAAAATTGGGTCGGTACAAAAGTTTCATTTTTTATAACAGCTATAGCCTCTAAATGCTAGTTCCTTTTGTAATCCCGATGAATAATAATCTTTGTTAAAATAGTCACAATAAGAGCATCGGATAATAAGTATGGCAGATTCTCCTCCAAGTTTCCTCTTCTTAACAGATTCTCCAGGTTTCCTCGAATTCAGAATCTCGTTACCTCGTTTTCAAGCATTTTCTAGATTAGCCACTTACCCGGATTTAAAGCTGTCTCTTTTCTGCATTTAATAGGTATCAAATATATTCAACAACTTTTGCAAACCCTAGGTAAGCTGTAAATGCCAAATCATGATGCGGCTTTCATTTGGTATGAGAAGATGAAAACCACTGCAATACGAGCGGCAGGTAACTCAAAATGGGTGTTATAAAAGTGCAATCCAGCCCCTCGGCATTAGGAAACCAATCCATGGAAATAACACGATGACACATTTATGAGTTCGCTTTGATAACTGTAGTTATTTACGAGAAGGCTAAGCTTGCCACTGGGATACGTGGTTTCCGTTCCATGCTAAATACGATGCATATAACTGCATCAGTAAATGAAGTGTTAGCTAACTGACTCCATTTTCTAGGTCAGTTAATATCGCCTATATCCACAGACCATATTGCAGCTTTGAAATACTTTCATACGTTTGCTTTTAGTACCATTCTTGAACAAATTTCCAACATTAATTCAACATCAGGCAGTATTGTTTCATGTTTTGTTCTCTACGCCAGTCCAATGTTACTTTATGTCCAAGGCTACTTTTTTGTTTACAATGGTAGAAATGCTTTGATACATTTCGTCCTGCGCAGCCATTGCTGAAAACATTCATAGCTATGATTTCTCCATACATATTATTTTGTTGGTCGCCGTCAATGACGTCATTATCATTATCCTAATCGTTATAGATACCCTCGACGCCTCGACAAAAGAATATATCTTTTTAACATCTCTTGTGATTTTTATCTGAAGTTTAATTAAATGGTCAACCTGCTATTGCTTATTATTCTTAGAAATTTTATAGAAAGTTATTTCTGAACAGTATTGTACGTAATTAGTTACTAGACCCCTGGAAAGGAATCAGTACGAAAAAAAATTGAAATGGATCTTCTCGAAATTAGGAAACTCGGCTGAAAACACGTCAAAGGGTTCCGCCGAAAGGCGCTTCCTCGAAGTAAACAGACCAGACGCCTGCACGCTATGCTGCTAATTAACCAGGGGCTTGTGATTTTGAAGAAAAAATTGCTTTGAATCAAACAATCAATGCACTTTTTATAAAGATAATTTTGTAAGTATATGCATAAGCACCAAGGAGATTAATCAAAATAAAGTGGGTAAAAAGCTCAATTGGGAAGCAGGTATGAGAAGCAAAAAACATGGTTATATTGCATATGCACCAAGGAGATTAATCAAAATAAAGTGGGTAAAAAGCTCAATTGGGAAGCAGGTATGACTTTTTGCCAATGGAAGACTAGAAGAGGGCGGGCTTGATTTTTGCTCACCCGGGCTCTAGATTCTTAAAAATCAGTCACTTTGAGCCTCAAATTGTTCTTAAATCATTCATAAGCGACACAACGTGTGAATTTGGTAAGAATCTAGAAAAAAATCTCAAATATTTGCTAAGGTCACTCTTCACATGAAAATTTCTTGAGGAAATGAAGCACACTAACACAACAAAAGCTTGATGAATGTACCATTAACATTTTCTGCGTGAAAGTCTCCCTTATTATGTTTGCTCAATATAATAATAAAAAAGTCGAACTCTCGATGAACTTTGCGCCTGGCAATAATTCCGCCAGAATTCGACTAACGCTTTGCATTTACTCTGCAGATCTCTTATACTTTCGGTGAACATTGTCTTTTCTCAAATGATCGGGAAGGACTCTTTATATAAAGGCAATAAATGAAGTCTTTATATAAAGGCAATAAATCAATAGAAAACACCGATGTTGGAAAATGTGAATTCACCTCTTGTAAGTTAATGTTTGATTTTTTGCTTCAAAATTGTTGTTGTTGCTGTTGTAGCGTTTATCATTCAATGCAAGAGAAAGCAACTTTCTTTTTTTGCCAAAATTTCTAACATACTAAGGAATAGATGAGCTTTTTCCTTGGGGTTGAAATAAAAAGAGTTAATCATAAAGTTACCACTTTTTTGCTTTTATTAAAAGATGATCGGGCCTCCTCTGTATTTGCCATTCAAAATACTCGTACTTCCCTCTGGCAAATATTCAGGTACACTCGAAAAGGAAGCGCGTAAGTTAAAAGCACACCTGACAGATGTGAGAAAAATCCCGGAGATATTCTGTCTCCTGTCATTTGCAATGTAGGAAAGATGACAAAGCATGCCAACTGATCGCTTCAGCACTTGATGGTGTGAGGTCTCAGGCGGAAAACGCTTAAACGAAGCCGACCAATAAATATCAAATAATTATCAGAAAAGAATACCGTGCTTAAATATCATATGAAATTCATACTCTGGTACTGATGACTATAACGTGTTTGGTATCATAAGGTATTGTCATTGTAGTATTATAGCTTCCGAATTTGTTGCTCAAAGGAGGAGCAAAAACTACACTCAAACACTAAACTTAATCATATTGCTCCTCTTTTTCGCATGCCATAGTAAGCCTTGTTGAATCGACGAAGAGCGTAAAAAACATGGAGGTACATTAAGAGCTTTTCATAACTCCCATCTACAGCACTTTTCGCTATTGGTAAAGTCTAGAATTGTCGGCGTTCAGAGAGGCCCTCACACTCACATTTTATGAAAGGGGTTTTGAAAGGTGACTTGTACTGTACAAGTTTAGCTTGCTGCCGTTGTTGCTGTTGCTGTTACCGTTAAAAAATTTTCTTTGCTTTACAGACCTGCAGCCTTGATGCTTTTGTAACGTTAAGTTGAGTGAAAAACAGTTTTTAATCTTTTGACATCATTCATCGACTTGGGGACTTGGGGTGTATGATGATATATATTTTGATTGATGATAATGATGTAGACAAAAAGCTGCCCAGTTTTGTTGCTTTTTGATAATACTGGGCAATTCAACAGAAAGAAACTCAACAGAAATTTGTAGCTGCTTCAGGACAAAAAATTCTTGAATCATCTGCTTTTGACAGAATGCCATCGACCATAAAATAAAACGCAAATCCACATTATAAGCTCAAAATCCGGCTCTAACCTGTTGTAACGTACACTCTAAGCAGGAGATTTTCAAATGATCAAAACCTGTAATTTATGAGACGGCTTTTGCATCACTTAATCACGCTAATCTTGTATGATTCGAGGAATACGATAAGACAAAGTAAGTGACGGCAATGTTACATGTTTCTTATCCTTGCCAATATTTCCCGCAAATTTATATACTGCAAAATTGTACTATATTGACTTAAGTTACTGACTTATGGAAATAAATGACAGTTATGTAACGCCTACTGTTGATCCCATTCCAGTATAATATACAGCCATTTTTAATGCCCCTCTTTTGGAGGTATTAATTGGAACAAACAGGATAAGTAGAGAGGACCAACACACAAATTCAAATATTTTAACTTATTCCTCTATATTTCTATTAAACACAGATAATTTTTACCCCGAAGGCGCTTGATTGCTTAAGGAAACCCAATCTTAGTATCTCATGAATTTAAGTCATTAAGTGCCAAAATGAGAATCAATACCGCAAATACAATACCAAATTAAAACCTGTTCGTATTTCCTTTTCAATGGCCACAATTTATTGCAACTTTCTTTTTTTCATTGTCAATCTTAGCAGCAGCAAGACTGAGACTCATGAAAACCGTATCGTTTCTAAAATAGATGTTAGTTTACAATTCTCCTTTGTCTTACCATTCGTACGCATAAATCGACGATGGAATTCAGTGTAGTGGTAATAAAATGCCAGGCTAATATTGCAACCGCAGAGAAAACATTTTTAGCAAGCATTATCATTGGTACAGACAGCTCACTGAAACTATCATTGTAAACCTTGACAAAACCTCATCTCACATTCTCTGTTTATCACACTGATAATTTCACAAATCAAGAACTTTAAAAGCTTGTAGGCATGTGACACATAGGGACAAAGAGACAGCATATTGGAGAAATTAGCTTTCTAGAAAATATAATGTAGCTATTTTTCAAAAGCCGGATGTTTTCTTTTCTTTGAAACACGAGGGTAGGTATGGGGGCTTTTTCTGCTTCCGGCACAAGCGATCTGATGCAGGCTTGTTATAGGCCTTTAACTACATAACTGATTAATAATTGTCTGCCAAGGCCTATGTTGCTTTGAGGGGAGGTACACAAACATATATGTACATTCAAAGAAAAGAAAATTGAATTGGTTACTATCTTTTCTACCTTGAGGCTTCAGGCCTGAGGAAAAGGAATTGCTTTAAGCTTAAAAGAGTCGAAGGTTAATAAAGGTATGGATGAGATTCAATGGTACATGGTACATTCAATGGTACATGTAATGAGAGATTCATTTGTGAAGGATAACGGACAAGGCTTCAACGAAATTTTGAATAAATGAAATTTTGAAAAGCTTTGAAGAAATAAAAAATGACTGAAAATCCAAAGGAACACTTGAACTGCACAATCTGCAATATTCTTAATAAGAAGAACTATTTGAGGCTAACTGTAGAATGAAAGGAAATGCACGATAGACTTCCAAACAGATTCATTCCTTCTAAACACGAAAGACACTAGTGACGAACTTTTCTTCTGGTCCTCGTCTTGGATTCCTTATTTGTTTGCTTTGTGTTTAAAAAGTTGGCCTATTTTCAGCACATTTGCGAATGCTAGAAATATCTTGAAATGTTTCTAGAAATGCTTCTAATACTCTATTTTGTTCTGCCAGTGAAAAGTTCTGATTGTCTGAAAAATGTTAAATTGTTTATATAACTCGCGAGTTGTGCAAACATGTTAAAAGCAGAATTACATTAATATTTGTCCTGGACCACCAGCATTTGAGAACTTCTGACCCCACTAAGGTGTGGTATACATTAAAAACTACTCAAATCGTTAATTATGAAGTTAGAGTTACGTTGAAATTTAAGTTGAAGCTTGGTGTTTTCACTGTCAGGATACGAGGACAGTCTGCAGAATTGTGCAAGTGTACTCTCTGTAAAATATTTGGTCTTCTACAGTACACACTTAAATAGAGGGATTTGCCATTACAAATTTTGCCAAAAGGGCGGGGCCCTAGTATTCACCTAGTATACTGAACTATTTCAGTTTCAAAACGTCAAAAAAACATCAGACCACTATTTTCAAGAAAATTGAGCCCAATTTTCAGCAATCGTGAACTGTTTGCACACTTATAGTTCACAAAACAATTTCAAGGGCACACTTGCACATTGAATTCTGGTTGTGCACACTCGTTGATCTCGTTGAAAAAGGCCATACCCGGCAGAGAGGATCCGAGAACTGTTGCATAGTCGAGGTCGGAAAACGTATATGATTTTTGATTATGAGAAAATCGGGCAACTTAAGTTTCTTCTTATATGCATATTGCGCGTTAGCAAACTCATCATAGTTTGGCATTTCCCAAAGTCTGAGAAAATCCACGAGCTTGTTGGTAACTTCTATTGAGTGCAAGTTTCAATGCCTTTAGCATCAGCAAAAAGTACTAAAGAAAGACTTTTTTGCTACTTTTGCTACTATATATTAGGCAAAAAGGAAACAGCTGACCTAGAAACTTATTCTAAATTCATTAACCACGCCCACGAACTCTGAGCAAACGGAGAAAATCCTAAAGATTTTAAAAGCAAATGTGTGGTCACTTGAACCACAGGGTCACAATGCATGAAATGTTTTGACACCAATTTGCGAATGGCTCGGGCGGGACATGAGACAAGCTTGGAAGCTGGCGTGAAACACGAGAATAAGCTAAATCAGTTACATAGGCTTAGGAGACACAGGGGCTGGGAGTCAACAAAAGGATAGAAAAGGAACATTTCATCAAAAACTGTCTCATTAATAAGTTGAGGTGGGGGCGATTACGTCAACACACAAACAGATAAAACTAGAACTAGAATAAGTTATATTCCATAAGTATCTTTAAGCCTGTATTCGTATAAATTCCTCCTTCACGTCTTTCAAGCTATGTAAGAGGTTTTTTATCATAACAGTTCCGTGCTGCATAATAATTGAAAACCAGCCGGAGAGAGAAATTGTCAACGTTGTTTGCAGCTATAAAAATGATGACAGACAGGTTCGTCTTTAAATCAAATGGAAACGCGTCTTCAAGATTTTCTTTTCAAGATTTACCAGAAAAAGCGTCTTCAAGGTTTTCAAAGTCGTTTGAAGTTTGTTGACAACATTCGTTTTGACTGTATGTATTGACATTTACTGGAAACTGTCAAATTCTCACTTTCTGCAAAAGGCACATCCGGTGAACCACTCGTAAGACATAAACAAGGGCAGATTTTTTATGTGGAAAAACTAATTTTCGATACCCCTTGCCAACTTTTTCAAACTCCTTTTTTGTAGAGTTCTGTTGTCGATTGAGCAAAGGTTTTGTCTTTCAACAAAATTTCACTAACAAAGTGTCTTTTCCGCAATGTCTTTACAATTTTTAGCGTTCTATTGGCAATGCACAGAAAGTTAGGTGAATTTTGGTCTCGTAACTGCGAAGATAAGGAAATAAATAGACAACAAGTGAGAAGACGAAAACTATAGGCAATTGACTTACCTTGTTGGACTTGCGGCTTTGCCATGACGATCACTAATCTCAAGGAAAGATTGACCAACAATAAATCGACCACTGGTGAAGTCATTCTGCAAACAAAAGAGGTCTTATTGGCGAATGTTACTGCAAACCACTTGTGGATAAAAGGCAGTTATAGAAGGGCTGCCATGCACCCAAACTCAAACACAGGACGTATGACGTATGGAGCAGAATGCCGTAAGGTGAATGCTCTCCTTGACAAGTGCCTAAAAATAATTTGTCTTTCCTTCTCTATAAAAACATGTTGCCGATCATTATTGCTTTAAAGCAAACACACAAACAGGAGCATAATAGCTTCTCAAATATTCAGCTGAGGTCTTCTTCGTAATTGGCATCTCTCACGACATTTTCAGCCAATACAGTTTAAAGATGGAACGGAATGGACTGTTGAGTTAAATAATCAAAGTGCAGCAATTGCAATCATCACCCGGTCGCAAAATAGCTCGAATTCCGATGCGGCGGAAAGTTGGGTCGCACCTTGTCAATCGCACACGACAAACTAACTTATAGCATTGACCCAGGACCGAAGCAAGGGAACAAGGTGGATCTCGTTTCGCGTGGGGACTTGATGTGAAAAGAAATCAAATAAAACCAAAGATTTTTACAGCAAGATTATCTTTTAGCAAACAGTAACGTTGTTAGACTAGAATACGGTGTCTCCAAAGCAGATCGCTGGAATTAATAAATAATTGGGCTCTTTTGTGACACATATGGGTCAGCTGAATGAAATGTTCTACCGTTAAACACTTCTCGGTCAGATAATTTGCAAGCTTCCCCATGTACCAGCTTTTGCAACAATGAAAGTGCAAAATGTCACCATATTTGCCGGAAGATTCACTTATGGTCGAGATCAAAATTTGAGCTAGAGCAAGTCCATTTGTGCCAACTTTGTGATCCTAAATTTTCAGGGCAATATATTCTAGTTGTTGAATTTCACTCAGTAATCAACGTGAACACACCGACAAGGATGCAATATTGGGCTGTCTGCTTCTCCTTAAACGTAGTCATTCAGAATTTTTAGGCATGATGTCGGTCAAAGTTACAGAAACTTATCATTAAATTCGCCTTACTCAGGCTAAGCAGAAAGGAAAAGCAGGCAAGCTCAGTTTTTGGTTCATTAGATAAACTTGCTAGCGAGTAAAATATTAGTTACTTTCACCTCTTTATAACAATTTACCCAAACATTATAATTTCAATGAGTGTTCGTGGGGGCCAAACTGAATGTTCAGTTCTGCAGACGACCAGCAATACAGCATTTTCGGTCGAAGATTTAAAGCAGCGATTGCTGACATAATTTTCCGACGTATTTTTATCAAACTGGTGGTTATGAAGTGAAAATACTACTAACCGATTACAAGCATGCGAGTTCTTTTTTTTACACTTGAAGGAGGTAAAACTATTAAATTTTTAAATCCAATGCAATTTTAGAAACCATCTGATATATAAAAAAGCATAAAACTGAAAAAATTGCACAGGAATTGTCAATTTCTTTGAAAAACAACAGCACAAACTACCATGAGACCATGGCACACAGCAGCCTTATTTGATACAAGTACGCTTAAAAAAACGATCCTCAAAACTGGAAAAAGGTTAAGAACAAATTAAGAACAAGCTGAGGCTGAGCCACCCTACAATGAAATTTTGAACAACGTTTTATCTCAAAAGGCGGATTTTTAGAAGTGTCTGGGTGCTTTTTCGGTGAATATTCAAACTTGTCGGCAAATGAAGGTTGTCTCACTCACTTTGTCTGCAAATGAGGGCTGTACTTTTTGGCAAATGAGGCTTGAACACCTCCCAAGAACGAGAAAGCTAGCAATTGCACTGCTTACACACCAATATTTTAAGAACAAATTAAGAACAATGCAGCTTCAGATTTTCGAAAATTATGAGAACAGTCAGCCTGAATCTAAATTTACTGGTTCTTATAAGAAACAGTGTATTTGCGAAATTCAGATTTGATAGCTTTGTGTGTAATCTGCTTCGTGTATGCAAGTGCTTAGCCTAGTCTGCAAGGTATGACCGTTTTTGAACAAAATTTTAGAGGCGCAAACACCCCATACCACAGTTGTGGGTGCGCACAAATTGCCCGAAAGTACCAAGCGCCCGTGAACTATAAATTTTTCCGGATTTAAATTGAATAAAGCTAGGTGGAGGGATCGAGCAAAAGGCAGAAAAAGACTTGATGCAAGGGGGTCAAGATCGTAGAGAGTGGAAGCGTTTGTGGAGGCCATCCGCCAGGAATGGCGTGGTCGGCTTAAGATGATGATGACGATGATGATGATTATGACGATGAAAGCTAGTTTTTAGGTGCGCTATCAATATTATCATCTTGATTGATTGAAATTCTGAATCTTGGGTGCGCATCAGAGATCCTATTGGGCTTCTGTTTACTTTTTTTCACCCTGTTATTTTCCTGCGTTCAGACTGTTAAGTGTCAATTCTAGAATATACTTTAAAGCTACCAAAAACGTGACATGAAATGTTATACAAACATCGAATAAAGTCCTCTTTGGTGGCAAATTTCACGCAGAAATATCAGCATCGTGAGAAAATAGATATATTGAATTGAATCTGGAAATAGTGGAAGTCAACTTAAGCAGAATGCAGGTCATGAGAAATCAATCAAGTTTTCAGGATTTCTAACTAATATTAAATGAATTTCTCTAACTGCGATAAAATCTGCAGGGTCAACTTATAAAAAAGTCAGGGAACGTGATACGCCCTTTTCATTTCAATGAGGGCACATAGTCTCTTGAGGGATAGTAAGCATGTTAAATGGTACCGTGGGTTTCCACAGTTTGACCCCATTCTTCCACGGTGGCTCTGATACACGGGGTAGTGAAACGTCAGGAAAGATCAAAGTAGCCTTCTGCGCTGGGCGATCGAAAGCAAAAGTTGGGGGAACAAGGGGTGAGGGGTGAGGGCCACAATGAATAAAAACCTAGCGATCCTCTTTATGGCATAGAACTTGGCAAAGGGATGGAGTCTCTTGGGCAAGGACCCTAGAAATTTCTGTTGGTACACTCCCTTCACTTTTCCTTAAAGACTAGTGTTTCCCAGCATGCAAATCTTGTTCAAATTGTTTTCAAATTCAGCAAAGGAAAGTAATTTTTTCTGAAGAAACCGTTAAAGTAAAATTGAACCCCCCGATGAGCCTGAGGCTTTATGGGCAGAATGAAAAATGGTCAATCAAAGAATACAATGAGATCTTTCTTTCTGGTAACAAAACGTTTGATTTTGAAAGTGTTTGCCGAGGACTTAAATCACAAACCTGGATGATTTGATTTGCAGCTTTTTGGATGGCTGTGAAAACGTCTTCTATTTTTTGCATTCTTGAACATATAAAGCGCAGTTGTGGTGAAAGGTGTAATATTATTTCGAATGAGAAAATTACAGTTTTTTAAATTCCATTAGTAATTTGATATTGAGAACAGTTCATTAAAAGGCATCAGTAATCAAATTCTAAGGCTGATAATATATCTTTTCCAGTTGAAGATTTCCATGTTTTAGAAGACTAATCTTGTATGAAGAAATGCATGGTCAAAGATGGGACTGGTGTACAGAAAAAGATTTGTCATATTTCCGGAACAGGGTGACTGACAAGGTGTCCTATTTTAAACTACTGCTACGCATTATCCAGGAAGGATATTTTGTTGATGCTGTTATCAGACAAGACGCGAGAAGAACGCGCAATTCGGTTTGAGCCATTCTGCTATTAAACCTCTAACTCCTCATTCTAAGCAAAATAGCGAATAATAGCATCTTGCAATGGACAATCGACTATTCATTATAGATTTATATTGCTTCTAGTATCGCTTCCTGTGCAATGACACCACGTGACATCAAAATATTCTGTACAGTTAATGTTGAATATAAATGCATTGCAAACAACTTACTGATCAATTAAAGTTTGAACTGCGATGCTAGAGCTTCTAGCTGCCTCGTCAGTCTGTGTCGTGCTCTCCATGACTTTTGAGGTTTAATTAAATTCGAAATTTCATTTGTTGGGTTCAGGTCTGTGTTTTTCGCTAATTGAAGTTAATTCTCTCGAAAGCATTTTGGCATCCCAGTATGTCACCTTCTTGTTAATTTTAACTCTTTTTAAGACCAGTTTGAAAGTCAAGTATCAAATTCCATTGCTACTCATTACATTTCTTAAGAGGCGGCTACAGTTTAATTCAACTGTAATATTTTATTTACACCAAGGTTTCAGTATGATAAGAGCTATTGAGTATTGACAAATGTCATAATGTTCATGCAGAGTTGATAATATTTACATTTGAAATGGTATAGTGTTTCAATGGAGTTGAAATTTGAAAGCACTATTGTTTCTTAGAACATTAATGGGTTTTGGCAAGAAATGTTGGGACATGGCAGTCTGTACTCTCATTTACTCACGAAATGAAACTTCGAAAGTATAAATTAGAGGTTCCTAACGTCTTTCTTTCGATTCTAGAACTACTCCATTAATGAATGCCTGATGTTGTTAGAACGTCAATCACCTTCTGAGATCTAGATGACTTGGTGTTGCAAAGTACAAAGTATAAAGTAAATTTATTAATATGATGATGTTTAGAGGCTTTCATTTCGTCTTCATGCAATCGCACATCCTATCATATTTCATATTCGATGTCAGGTAGCTACTACACGTCCATTTACATTCAAATTTAGCAGGTTACCCCTTGGCTTCTGTCTATATCAATTTTGACAATATGGTTATCTTACCCATTTGCTCACCTTTAAAGTAAATTTCTTCTAGAACGCATCCTTACTCACCAATTCTCAACCAGCTGCATTTAAACATTGCAAACATTTGCATCACCATTCTTTCGCAAACACCAAACGACTTCTGAATCTTAACATACTCTAAGGGCTCAGCTGCTCTTAGCTAATCCATTTATGTCACGGAATTTACCATCGGATTTCAAAGTGATCTTAATATTTCAATTTCACTCCGCTTGTTGCTTAAACAACCATAGGTTCATTTCTGTCGAACGTTTAAACCCCTGTATCTTCTAATGACTTATAACCAGTGGTAGACCTTAATCATGAAGCTTTTTTATCGATAAAGGCTTCTTTAAAAGTGCAAAAACATTCTTCTTCAAAAAATCTTACCTCTTCTGATAAGTAATTTGAGAGTACTTAATAATGATATGCCAAGACAATTTTTTCGAAACTATTTAAAAAACATTTCTACCAATTTATGAACTATTTACCAAGTATTTTAGTCAATCATCAATTCTAACATTTACTAATTTTGTCCCTATCTCAGTTGAACCTTTTGAACCGGACCTATTCTCTTGTTTGTTTGTAATTCATTATCATTATAAATAGTTTTTGTCGATATTTGATATCAAATTAAAGGATTCAAAAAGTGTCACTTAGAATAGCAGAAGAGGGTTTTAGATTCCCTTTACATAAAATTCAACGAACTTTTTCTGTTGATGTGACTGCAACTGATTGACACTTATTCCATGTCACTAAAAATATGTATATCTTTGACCGCATATTAGAAAAAGCATTTGCAAAAGAACTCGATCCACCGGACCTAAGAAACCAAGTGCTTTCCTAAATCCCCCTTTATCCACAAGACGTATCAAAATTTTTTTGCACGGTGAAGCCGAATCGTTTTGGCTTCTTTCACATCCTCTCTAAATAGTTTCAATCGCATTAAACTCGATAGACCACTTTAAGTTCGGAAAAGCATGCCGGTGTATTTCCTGAAATGCAAGCTATAAACTTGAAAAAGTAACTTACAAAATTCTCCTGCATCTCATTTTGCTGGAGGTTCTCTTGCTTGTCTTGTGTCATTATCAGTTGTGGACCAGTGAATGTCCCCCTAGGACACAAATGAAATGCTTTATTAAAATCTTAATGAAAAATAGTATTAGACAATCTTGGGAAGGTATTATGTTTCAAGCGTCGAAGAAAAATGTAACAGAGTTGTTTATCAGAAACCACAGACCAAAAGAAGTAACTTTTATTTCTGTGCCTCTGAAGAACTTGATACCAGGCTGGAACGTGTGGAATGGCTCAAGTACATGCCATCAGGTTATCGACTTCTATATTTCCTGGCAATACACATATCGCTCAGTGTGCCTTCAGGGTAAAAAACAAATGATTATCACGAGAGCTATAAGCTTGGGTACAGAAGGTTCAAAAATTGTTTACGAGAGTACGCTGTATACAACAATTCCAGATACCTTTTCAGAAAAAACAACATAACTTTGAGGTAATCCTTGAAGCAAATTAACCTATCAGTCCAAGAACATTTTTCATCTGATTATCATTCTTCAAAAGGGGCGCACAATTTTCAAAAAGGGGTGCCAGCTTTGCTTCAACTCGTTGAGGGAGGGGCAACTGCCCCTAGTTGCCCCCCCCTTGAATCCACCACTGAGTGAATTAGAATTAACGGGAACAAACCAACATTCAGTAACTTTATTTGCTACCTTTACATATCGGTCTAAATCAGGACGTAGTGTTCGAGGGCATGTGCCCTCCTTATCCTGTCTCATGTTTCCGACTCACTTCAAATTGTCAGATGAAATTCATAGAATTCACACATGAATAGCGAAGCCTGTTAAGCGTATGACTTGTCTGCAATGTTTTTGTAGACCAGTTCATTCACATAGTTGCACTGATCTTGTTACGATTCAACGCAGGAAACGCTTTCATAAATCATTTAATATTCATGTCGTTAGTACCTTTATTCGCAGTCGATCTGTCATGTCTGAGAAACAGATAAAAAGAACGATTCAATGTTTACTAGCTGAAAAAGATACAAAAAAGGAATCTTTTCCCTATGCAGTTGTTGCTGCTTTCATGCAGAGAATTGGTTCGATATTTTTGATGACGTAATTGGTCCAGCAGACTGAACCGTTATCGATAGCTATTTATGATTTGTAGAAAATGTAGAAAATGCAGCCCTTCCTCTCGACTAAAAAGTCTTCGTAGTCTTATTCACTGCCATTTTTTGGAAATTGCCATAATCATAAGTTTCCTGCTTTAAATGAAAGATACCAGTAACTAAACAGGCACGGCGCTACTGGGGGGCTGGGGGGTGAGTGGCTGAAGCTTTTTGACCGTCTTTTTTGTTATTTTTGGAAACAGAGTATGAAATGAGGAGGGAACAAACTGTTCATATACTGCTAGATTTTATTCGATCTATTTACCAACTTACTTTAGGTATATTTCTATTATTTGTAGATTAGTTTTATCAGTTCAGTAGATAACATTCTATATCTTTGCAATGTCTGCATTTTGGATGTGTAAACGTGGCCTACTGTAGGTACTCGAGACAAAGAAGATTCACATTTCTGTTCAGGAAGTAAAATTATCTCTATCAACCATTCTAGAAGGCCTGATTTCTAATTTGAATTCTTATACAGTAGATTTTGTGATAGTCGAGAAGTAGTTGTTGAAAACGTTGGCCCCCGGCTCAGCCGTACCCGCTTTTGTATGAATGCATTTCAGAATTGGAACATCAAGACAATGCGGAAAATAACAGTCTGCAAAAGCAACCTGACATTTCAAATGGATCAATTTCTCGATATTTCATACTTTGATGAAAACTTTAGTTGATTTTTTGACATGGTGAGAGGGAAAGCTAAATGTGCGCTAAGGAATAAATCTGCTTTGCCTAATAGATTTTAGAGAAGATTACCAAACCATCGGGCATCTGGATGAAGCTGCAGGCAATCTTTCTCTATTCAAAAGCATGTAAGCCCATCAAAAGACTATTTCTGATATTTTCGCATTGGTACAGAGATCAAGACATGACCTTGTCCAGCATCCGTTCAAGTAGTGTACATTGATAAAAGTTCATGATATACAGTGCAGGGGAATTGCATGATTGTCGTCAAAGAAACATTGACAATTTTCAGACTCTATGTCATGGCTATAATCACAGGGTTGAAAGGAAAAAACGGCCTAAATTGCCATAAAATACATAGACGCAGAAAAGTAGCTCAACTGAGCAAAAATAAAGACATAAGCTGGTCAGCAACGGTAAATATGTCCATTGTTTTTAAGATTAATCCACTCTTATCCATTTTTCACATTGGTATAACAATTGAGGGGTGTGTGTTGTGAAACCCCATTTGCGGCAAGGTCCGCGCAACAGGGGTGGCATAAGGTGATATGGTCTGCCTACTTTTTTGTGTAAAAATATTAAATCTAAAATGGCATTTTTTCTGGCAACCATTTTAGGTATATAAAATGTTTGTATAGAGTGATTATCATTTGTGTAAATCCTTACAAAGCTTTCTAGGAAATTTTTGAAAAAATTGCGATAGGTATTATTAAATTTGTTGAACCTGAGGTTTTTGGCCTAAATGTGAGCTGCTTTGCTTTCTAAGAATGAATGTTGCTTTTAGAAGTGAATCTAAAAAACACCCTTTAAAGGCTTTTGAGGACATGTTGACTATATCCCATGAGCTATTGGCCTAAAAGAAAGCCTTTGACCATAATTTTGATCTAAAAGTAAGCCTGTGGGCCTATAGTCTTGCAAAAATGACAGTTTTTTGACCACAAATTTAGAAATAAACTTGTTTTTTATTGTCATTATCACATAGAGAGGCAAGAATGACTTGTAACTATCTTCTCACCATCTTACAAGAGTTTTTGGATTGTTTTCAAATCAGAGCTTTTCGGCGGGGGTTGTACGTTTAGAGTTTATAGAATTACCGAAATGACAGATTTTCAAAGGCTTAGGATTAAGCTTAAAAAATCATCAAAATTTTTCGAAAACATTTTCTTTGAAAAACAGGATTATATGCATCCTAACGATGAAATCAAACAACAGTTTCCTTTAAAATGAAAGAAAAGTCGTCTTTTTTTAAAAAAAAAGTTACTTAGACAAGTCATTTTTTGACAAAAATTCAGGTTATAGGCTTAGAAAAATTGTCAACTTTTTTCCTAAAAACTTCTTTAAAAAGCAGATTATTATTCATCGTATCCATGAGATAGAGCAAGAATTCAACTTAATTACCTGAGAAAAGTCGCTTTTTTTTAAAAAAAAAGAATTTTATCGGGACACTTTTTGATCAAAAAGTAAGACTACAGGCTTAGAAAAATCATCAAAATTTTTCAAAAAATTTTTATTTAAAAAACAGGTTAATAATCCTCTTATCAATGTGGGAAAGCAAGAATTCAACTTAATTATTTGAGAAAAGTAGTTTTTTTGAAAAAAAAAACAAGAATTTTATAGGAACACTTTTTGATCAAAAAGTAAGGCTATAGGCTTAGAAAAATCATCAAAATTTTTCGAAAATTTTTTATTTAAAAAACAGGTTAATAATCCTCTTATCGATGTGGGAAAGCAAGAATTCAACTTAATTATCTGAGAAAAGTAGCTTTTTTTGAAAAAAAAACAAGAGTTTCATCGGGACACTTTTTGATCAAAAAGTAAGGCTATAGGCTTAGAAAAATCATCAAAATATTTCGAAAAAATTTTATTTAAAAAGAAGGTTAATAATCCTCTTATCGATGAGGAAAAGCAAGAATTCAACTTAATTATCTGAGAAAAGTAGTTTTTTTTTGAAAAAATACAAGAACTTTATCGGGTTAATTTTTGATCAAAAAGTAAGGGTATAGGCTTAGAAAAATCATCAAAATTTTTCGAAAATTTTTTATTTGAAAAACAGGTTAATAATCCTCTTATTGATGTGGGAAAGCAAGAATTCAACTTAATTATTTGAGAAAAGTAGTTTTTTTGAAAAAAAACAAGAATTTTATCGGGACACTTTTTGATCAAAAAGCAAGGCTATAGGCTTAGAAAAATCATCAAAATTTTTCGAAAAATGTTTATTTAAAAAACAGGTTAATAATCCTCTAATCGATGTGGGAAAGCAAAAATTCAACTTAATTCTTCGAGAAAAGAAGTTTTTTTGAAAAGAAACAAGAATTTTATTAAGACACTTTTTGATCAAAAAACAAGGCTATAGGCTTAGAAAAATCATCAAAATTTTTCGAGAATTTTTTATTTAAAAAACAGGTTAATAATCCTCTAATTGATGTGGGAAAGCAAGAAATCAACTTAATTCTTTGAGAAAAGAAGTTTTTTTGAAAAAAAACAAGAATTTTATTGAGACACTTTTTAATCAAAAAGTAAGGCTATAGGCTTAGAAAAATCATCAAAATTGTTCGAAAATTTTTTTTTTGAAAAACAGGTTAATAATCCTCTTATCGATGTGGGAAAGCAAAAATTCAACTTAATTATCTAAGAAAAGTAGTTTTTTTGAAAAAAAAACAAGAATTTTATAGGAACACTTTTTGATCAAAAAGTAATGCTATAGGCTTAGAAAAATCATCAAAATTTTTCGAAAAACTTTTATTTAAAAAACAGGTTAATAATCCTCTTATCGATGTGGGAAAGCAAGAATTCAACTTAATTCTTTGAGAAAAGAAGATTTTTGAAAAAAAAAACAAAAATTTTATCGGGACACTTTTTGATCAAAAAGTAAGGTTTATAGGCTTAGAAAAATCATCAAATGTTTTCGAAAAATTTTTATTTAAAAAACAGGTTAATAATCCTCTAATCGATGTTGGAAAGCAAGAAATCAACTTAATTCTTTGAGAAAAGAAGTTTTTTTGAAAAAAAACAAGAATTTTATTGAGACACTTTTTGATCAAAAAGCAAGGCTATAGGCTTAGAAAAATCATTAAAAATTTTCGAAAGTTTTTTTTTTGAAAAACAGGTTAATAATCCTCTAATCGATGTGGGAAAGCAAGAATTCAACTTAATTCTTTGAGAAAAGAAGATTTTTGAAAAAAAAAACAAAAATTTTATTGAGACACTTTTTGATCAAAAAGCAAGGGTATAGGCTTAGAAAAATCATC